GGCAGAGTCTTCCCTTCTGGTCCATGGGATGTTGAAAGTGTGTGAAAAAAAAAATAAAAGGAAAAAAAGTTCACAGTAGCTTTCTACTTCACAGAAGCTCATGACTTTGAAGACTGCCACCCTATAGAGACTGCTCCCACCTAGATTAGCTAAACCCGTCCCCTTTACCCATCTGTAAACCCCAAACCTGCCCCTTGTTATCTGTATGTAAAAAGCCTTCGCCTTGTTCAACCGTACCCAATAACCCCACCTCTGTGTTCAACTCTATATAACAAACACACTGAACTTCCTGGAGACAAAGGCTTCTCTGTCCAAGAGTCTGGGCCTCCCAATCCCGTTTTTTCTGTTTGTGTGTCTGTCTGTCTGTCTTTTCTTCATTCCCTCATAGCTGCAGTTAGGTCCATCCCTGGAGCTGTGCTGGATACAGCCCTACACCTTAGTTTTTGAGGCAGGGTTTCTCTCTGAATCTGGAGTGTAGGGAGAGACCCTGGATACCTGTACCACTGACCACGCCCAAAGGCCCAAAGAGGTACGCAGAGGGGTAGGATAAAGAGTAAGGAGGAGAGGCACTTTTTCTCTTTCGGGGTTCAAGCCAGGTCTCAGAGTGCATCTGAGTCTGGGCTGCTCGGAATGCTAATCTGGTTATTAGCTACACGTGTGAGTTGTTTTCATCGTTGTAATTTATAATATACCACCAATAACCATATCTTGTGTACAGCTGTGTTCCTTATCAGTGGAGCTCACTGATTTGGATGACTAGCAAGCCCCAGAGACCTTCCTGTTCCTACCTTTTCACTTCTGGGGTTACAGCTATACATGGTCTGTGTCCTGTTTCAGTGCTTTCAAAAGGCTTGAAGTTGGGTCTTCATGCTTGCACATAGCAAGCACTTTTATCGATGTGGTCATCTTTGGAGCTCTAAAAGTTTCTTTATTCTAAAAATATTTCTGGATGGTTTTTGACATTGCCGTATCTTGCTATTATAATTGTGGACTCCTCCACCCCCATAGAAAAAGTGGAAGTGACACTGGTCTCTTACTCCTGTAGACCCTGTGTGAACATTTTTGGAATTCTCCCAGGGGAGCATTGCCACTCAGAAGACATCTTCTGTGGGCGGAAGGTCTGGGGCAGGAGGTCTGGTGGATGCTGACATACAAATCTGAATGTGGACAGGACAGCAAAGTCACAAGTCAGAGCCCAAACCCGAAATTTGCAGTGCAGGCTGGTAAGATGCAGTTCTATTGTGCCTCAGCAGACAGGGAAAAAAAATCACCCTGCGAGGGAGAAGTGAGCTGCCCAGAGCAAATGGGAGAGTTTGGGTTGGAGTAGTTAAACACCAGTGCTTGAGGCTTCCTCACATCTTGGGAGTTTTCATTTCCTAGAGTTGAGCAAAGTTAGGAGCAAATGAGGGAACAAAAGCTTGAAGAACACAGTCAGAAAGGTCAGCGGGATACCACCAGGGCTGGAGGCAGCTTCACATTTATTAAGCTGGCTGGAGAAAGCAAACCGCCTTTATGTATCAGAATTATCTTATTCCCCCTTCACTAGTGGGGATGGAACCTAGGGAACTTCACGCTAGGCACATGGGATACACTGGGCAACATCTTAAGTCCAGAATTTTATTTTTATCTGTTCTGGAGTTGGACATACATTTCGATCAGTTTTAGCTCCTTTGGTAACAGCTATTTACTGAACATGTGATATTCTCTCTCAGTTTCTGTGAACAAAAATGCCTACTGACCATTTCCAAGTTGTTAAGGGTGTGAGGCTGGGCTCAGGCCTCCTCCAGGTTGAGATCTGATGTGCAAACTAAAGGAGGGGACAGTTCTAGAGAGGAGCAACAGTGTGTGTGGACACTCAAGGGTGCTCTGAAACTTTTGTCTGAGGGAAAAAATGGAGGGACCAGTGGGTGAGTGGGGGCTTTGAGGGGAGGATGAGAAGACAGACAGGGAAGGATCAGAAGTGGGGGGAGAGGAGGAATGAGAAAGAGAAGGGGGAAAGAAAGGAGGAAGGGGATGTTGGCTATGTGTGCTCACTGGATGACTTACAAAGGAGACAGTTATGTTTTCAGTGAACCCTGTCATGCTAGAAACCACATGGTTGGCACTTGTCCAATTTATCTCAAATGAGGATTTTGCCTGAATTTTTCAGAAAACTCCCAGTGTGGTGGTGGTGTACTGCCCCTAAAACTTGTCACTTCAACTGGATGGTACAGTTTCGAAGAAGTCATCTCTCTCTCTCTCTCTCTCTCTCTCTCTCTTTCTCTCTAGATCAGGCTTACCTTGAACTCACAGAGATCCACCTGCCTCTGACCACTGACTGCTGGGATTAAAATCATAAGCCACAATACCTGACTGACTCTGGTTTCTTTTCTTTTTCTTTCTTTCTTTCTTTTTTTTTTTTTTTTTTTTTCTGTGGCTTTGGAGGCTATCCTGGCACTAGCTCTTGTAGACCAGGCTGGTCTCGAACTCACAGAGATCCACCTGTCTCTGCCTCCTGAGTGCTGGGACTAAAGGCGTGCTCCACCACTGCCTGGCTCTGGTTTCTTTTTTTAAATAATTAAAAAAAATTTATGTGCATTGGTATTTTGCTTGTATGTATGTCTGTATGAGGGTTCCATATCTGGAGTTATAGACAGTTGTGAGCTACCATGTGCGTGCTGGGAATTGAACCTGGGTCCTCTGGAAGAACAGCCAATGATCTTAACTGCTGAGCCATCTCTCCAGCCCAACTCTGATTTTTTTTTTTTTTAAGATTTATTTATTATGTGTAGTGTTCTGTCTGCATGTATTCCTGCAGGCCAGAAGAGGGCACCAGATCTCATTACACATGGTTGTGAGCCATCATGTGGTTGCTGGGAATTGAACTCAGGACCTCTGGAAGAGCAGTTAGTGTTTCAACCTCTGAGCCACCTCTCCAACCTGATGACTCTAGTTTCTTAAATGTCACATGGGTGCTACCATGGTGGTTAGTGTTGTCTGTTAATTTGGCTGACTCTAGAATCACTTGGGAGACAAGCTTCCGAGCACACTTATGTGGGAGTTGGGGATTACAATGGTTGGGTTGAGATGGGAAGATCCAGCCTGAAAGTGAAAGGCACCATTCCCTGGGTCCAAGGTCCTGGACTGCAGCAGAAGAAAGCTATCAGGGCACAAGGGAGCGTTCCTTGCTGTCTTCTTCCTGTCTTGACTCCGATGCTGTGATGGACTGTATCCTTGAAATGTGAGTCAACTAAACTCTGCCTTCCTGAAATCACTTTTGCCAAGTTTTTGTTTGTTTTCTTCTCATAGGGATGAGACAATAAACAGCTACTCAGCAGATAGTGAGGGAAAGAAATGGAATTAGGGTTCAGGTACACCCTGCTCTGTCACGGAGCAGCCAGAGGGCCAGCAGCTGAGGTCCAACCACATGATTGGTGACAGAAGGAAGAAGAAAAGTAGCTCATGAGACTTGTCAACTGAGGCTCCGCTAGTTTTGAATGTGTTCTAACCCCCTCTTTAAACTGTGGGTTTGGGGACCTTGCACAGAGTTGTATCTTGGAATGTGGGAATTATGAACATTTTGACAAGAAGAGGTTTCTGTATGTACAAAAACAAGAAATTAATTGAAAATCTAGTGCATGCTGTGTGTGAGGTGCTCTTGACAACAGGCAGCATGGCTGCACTGTATGGGTCATTGCAGCCTTGGCTCTGAACCTACAAAATCCAAACTTTGGGCTGAGAATGCCATCATGATACTCAACAATGAGTGGTGTCCCCAGCCTACAATTCACAACCCCAGAGAAGCTAGAACCCTCTTCCAAAAACAGATGGAAGCAGATGCAGAGATCCACAACTAACCATGGGACAAAGCTCCTGGAGTACAACTGAAGTAAGGGAGGAGTGATAGTATGAACAAAGAGTCAAGATCATGATGGGGAAACGCACAGAATCAGCTGACCCGAGATAGTGAGAGATCAGACTCAGGTCTGACAAATGGGGAACCTGCATTAGACCAAACTAGACTCCCTTAATATAGGTGACAATGGTGTGACTGGGACAATATATGAGGCCACTGGCAGTGGGTCCAGGACCTAACTCTAATGCACAAATTGACTTGGTGGAGCCCATTCTATATGGAGAGATACCTTGCTGAGCCTAGACACAGAGTTTGGGGATGGAGAGGTGCCTTGGTCCTTCCTCAAGGAGATGATGGGACAGACTTAGTAGACTTCCTAGGGGAGGCCTTACCCTCTCCAAGGAGCAGATGGGAGGGGGAGCGGGAAGAGAGGAGGGAGGGGGAACTGGGATTGGAACGTAAAAATAAATTAATAAAAATATATTAAAAAAAAACAATGAGTGCTGTCTCCAGTGCCTCAATTCTGGCTCTGGGCTATTCTGCATCTTGAATTACAGTGTTCCTACTGTAGGTAGGAAGTTTTCTGTTCTTGCAGAAACATGGTTTAATTAGAAACCAAAGGCTTTTGAATGTTTTCCTGCTATCATTCCTTGGTTTCTAAGTATCAAAATAGTGTAGCTCTGGATTGTATTGTTAGACTGGTTTTTAAAATTGCTGTTCAAGGCCGGGCAGTGGTGGCACATGCCTTTAATCCCAGCACTTGGGAGGCAGAGGCAGGTGTATCTCTGTGAGTTTGAGGACAGTCTAGTCTACAGAGTGAGTGCCAGGATAGCCAGAGCTATACAAAGAAACCCTGTCTTGAAAACCACAAAAAAAATGTTTAGTGATATCTGATTTGTGTCTAGAAAGAAAAGTTAGAAAGAAAAGTTTCCAGTTTTTGAGATGGTGCCAACATATTTCTGCCATTTTGTACTATATATTTAGGGGAAGCTTCATTCTCATCATTGACAATTATAAAATCAAAATGTCATTCAGCTATGGACAATGTTGGGAATTTTCTGTATTCTACCAGGTCAAACCAATATTTAATTCTTTAGCCAATATTTAATTCTTTAATTTTAAACATTTATTTATTTTGTATGTTGCATGCACAAACACACGTATATGAAGGTTATAAGACAATTTGTGGGAGTCAGTTCTCTCTTTCCACCATTTGGCTTCTGGGATCAAATTCAGCCATCAGGCTTGGTAGTAAGCACTTTTCTCACTGAACATCTCTCTGGCCCAGGGTTTAAATCTCTATGAAAAAAATGAACAGGTAAATAATCTCATTAGCATGCAAATTTACTTTTCCTCTTTAATGATAAAATTATATGTGTACAAAATATTTTAAATTTCTTTAGGATTATCAGTAAGTGATTTTTATTTATTGATTGATTTTTGAGATAGGTCCTCACTATGTAGTTTTGACTGTAGACCATGCTGGCCTCGAACTCACAGAGACCCTTCTGCCTCTGCCTCCCAAGTGCTTGGACAGCTGTGAAGTTTTTTAACCTCAGCCACTCTAGTTAACTTGTGGAGGCTATTTTACATACTGATATTCCCCAGGCCACACAGATATTTCTCAGGGTAGGTGGGAGCCACTGTGAAGGAAAATATCCAAGCAGCCCTGCCCCTCCAGACCACCCACATGGCTGCATGACCCTCACTAGGTCTAGTTGTCTGGTTGGCGTTTAACACCATTTTCTGTGCCGTGACAGGTCTGTTATTTTGATTTCTTCTTTGAATTCTGTGCCATCTTTAATTTTGATGAACTGCAATACTAAGATTCCAATGATATCATGAAAAACAAAGACCAATTTGTTTTTTAGTTTTTTTTGAGACATCACCTCACTTGGTAGCATGGTTGTCCTGGATCTCACTGCAGGTTTTCGGGTAGGCAACTGCCTCCACTTCCCACTGGTGGATAATGACAGTGGCAGTCCCAGAGACTCTTGTCTAAGTTGGCATCACTGAGGGCCAGATTGTCCCTATGATATTTGTATTGTCCACAAGTCACTTTGCAACATACCCTGTGTGACACCTGGAGACAGTCCACATTTCTTCTCAACAGCGTTCCAGCAGGCAATTTTCCCTCTGCTGGGAGACCTGGAGCTTCCCCTCACCATCTCATGCTCCAGATGGAGAAGCTGCCTCAGCTCGTGCCTCCTGCAGAAGAGATAGACATACAGCGTGGAGCCGACAGTACTGTTCTTTGTTTCCCTAGTTCAATGTCTCCTGCAATGGAGTCTGAGCTTCCTGAGGGATGAAGATTTTTCTTATTCATCATTGATATACATATATACGTATATTAATTATACATAATCATACAGATGTTATATCTATCTATCTATCTATCTATCTATCTATCTCCTAAAGCATAACTTGGGTTCCACTTTATTGCTAATAGGTACGACCTCTTCCTCCACTTTACTGTCTCTTTCTCCTTGCAGCAGATGTCTCCAGTGGTCCAAAGCCCCTACAGTGCTGAGGCCCTGCTGGTCCAGAGGCAAGGGACACAACCTGACTTGAGTTTGCTGCTGGCCAATCTCTTCCATCCATACTCTACCCTATTGCACACCAAATCAGTAAACATGGCTTCAGGCAGGCCCAGAACAGCAGTGACTGATTTGTAAACTAGGAGCCAGATCCAATCAACTAGCTTCCTTCCAAGCTTAGGCCACAGATAAATCTGATAAGCAAAATGGGCTGACTTTTACCACACATTTTCAAAAATTCCAGACCCTGGGTTCCAGCCACCCTTGGGCTCATACCTAGGCCTAGGTGGCTGGTGGCAGTGTTCTCTTTCCAGACTTTCTGATGGAGGTCACTGTTGCTAATTCTTCCTAGATGCTGGAGGTGGGGGGTGAATGGAGGTTTGTGTGTGTGTGTGCGTGTGCGTGTGCGTGTGCGTGTGCGTGTGCGTGCGTGTGTGTGTGTGCGCACTAGCTTGGGCTAGCTTTGTCTTCAGGACTATGGTGAAGGTCTTTACCAGACTGTGTGGTGAGGTCATGGAAGGCTGCCTTGTAGAGAAACCTGGGGTAGAAATTTTGCCTAGCTAATTGAAACATTGCAAACCACTTGGCAGGGTCAGTGTCCAAGGAGACACCCACACGCACAAACTGATGAGCAGCTCCTGGCATGGATGGTCACAAGAAAGTGCCAGCAAACACAGCAGGGCTGGAGGGCTGCTCATGTCCTGTGGCTGGGCCTTCTTCTGGGTCTCCAGCAGGACCCTCCAGGTCTGCAGAACCAGGGTCTATCTGTGAAGCAGCAGCCCTGTGTGGAAGGTAGCTGGCAGCAGGAGGGATTGTAGATATCCAGGGTCAGAACTGCCCTTTCAGAGGTGGAGCAGTTCAGCTCTTCTAATAGCCTTGACCAGCAGTTTCTCAGTGCTCAGGAGCATGGAGGTGAGACCTAGTGGGGTATACACCAGGAGCCACAGGACCTCAAGGAAGGAAATGCAGGAACAGAGGCAGAGGAGGAATGTCCCCCAGCAGTCACAGGGAGAGTCGCTGCTGGCCTTGTTGCTGTCCACTGTGGCTGATGAAGAGCAATGAGGAGTACCAACATCACCATCAACAGACTTGGCACAGGACATCCTTTCTGGATCCAGTAAAGCCCTCAGACTCCATGGAGAAACATCAAAAGGGCACGGGGAAGATGAGGGACAGGTTGGGGAAGAGGGAAACAAGGTTCCAGAGGTCACAGGTTAAGGCAGCTGCTGGATGTGACAATATGCTCTGCAGCAGGGTGGCAACAGCACACTGGTGTGGATGGAGAAGGGGGAAGGGCAGAAGCAGGAGATCTCTCAGGGTGACCACTAGGACACGGGCACACAGCACCATCTGTTGACTGGGATGTCTTCACCACTCACTGTGGTGGTGAACTCGACCATCAGGAACATCTGGGCAGAAGATGTGGTGTCACAAACAGAAGTTTCTAGACGATGCACCCTGGACCAGGTTGCCAAATAGCTGCTTTCACACGGATAGTATTTTGCAGGCAGTTGCTTCTGTATTCTGCTCAGCATGACTGGAGTGGATGTCAGGGATGGGGTGGGGTGTGGGGTGAGGTGTGTGTGTGTGTGTGTGTGTGTGTGTGTGTGTGTGTGTTGAGGGTGTTGGGGTGTGGGGTGAGGATAGTGGATATGGAGTGTTTCTGAGCTTAGGGAAGTACCTGCAGGGATAAGGAGGTAATGCCTGCCAAGCACCAGGGCTCAGCTGAAGAGCCTTTCCCTAGTGTCTGTGACAGAAACATATATATATATGTTTCATAGCTATGGTTTATATGTCATCTTGAGCCAGCCTCCATAAGACCTATATCCATTGTATGGTTAGCTCAACTTTATTTGCCGGATTAGAAGTGAGTCTTGAATCATTGCACTGGGGTGTTAACTCAGTGGTACAGCACTTACCTAGCCTTAATATGATCCTGGGTTCCTTTCCTAACACTGATTCTATTTAAGACTATCACTATTTTGATTGACACCTACTAGTTGTACAGCTAGACCATATTAATAAATGCAACCAAGGAGGTTGATTCATTCAACTGTCAAGAGGGAGAGATAGAGAGGACCACAGATCCCAGAGACAGAGGTTGTGTAAAGAGCAATTTCTGCTCTTGCAGAGGACCTGGGTATGGTTCCCAGCACCACGTGGTCACTCACAACCACCTATAACTCCAGTTTCAGGGGATCTGAAGCCCTCTTTTGGCCTTCATGGGTACTGCATGCACGTGAGCACCAAAAACAAAACCATGCTCATACACATCAAATAAAAATAAATCTTTAAAAGACAATGCATCCAACAGACTACATGGTGTATGATAGGAAATCTGAAGCAGCAAACTGAACTTGAGGATTTTATTTGCTCACCATTTAATTAATTGTTGATTTTTACTAATTTATTTTTGACAGTTTCATACATGTATTACTTATTCTTTTTTATTTATTTTTGAGGCAGGGTCTCCCTATGTAGTTCTGGCTGGCCTGTAGACTCGCTATGTAGACCAGGTAGGTCTTGAACTCACAGAGACCCATTTTTCTCTGTCTCTTGTGTTGGGGTTACAGGTGTATGTCATGATCATTTATGTTCTGAGAAAAGGACTCAAGTGGTTCAGGCTGGCCTTGAATTCGCTACATAGCTGAGGATGACCTTACCATACCAGGGTTTATGAAGTGCTGAGATGAAACCCAAGAACGCCTACACCCCACACAGCACGTTACCAATTAAGCCATATGTTCAGCCTCCACCCTGACCTTTAAAACATAGATGTTGTAGGCCCATGCTCGAAAGCCAAGCAAGCAGACACTGCATAGACTTGACTGGTGTCAACCAGAGTCCAAGCCCCTGGCATGGTATGGTATCTATATTAAAGAGGGAGACTCCTCCTGTATGCAGGTAGGCACCTGGAGAGAGGCAGCTGCCAGGGAAGCTTAGCAGTACTCGGTGGTGTCCCCTCCCCCCCGACGCTTACAATGGAATTGCTATGGAAACAGCATTCATGTACCAGAAATCCATTTCTCGACTAAATTTTGTTCGAATTCTTTGTTTCTTTAATGCTTTGTATAAAGTGAGGCTTACCAGGTTTTAGAGCTTTGTCTGAATTCAGGCCCTAAGTTCCACAGACAAGTGGGGGTGCTGTGGGAGGAAGAAAAGGTTCCTACCCTCAGATCGCCAATCAAAACAAACCACAGGCTTTCTAATGTAGCGATTGATCTTATGAATTTTCTGCGGGGTCCGTCCACTAGCTAACACTGCGCATGTGCTCCTCACACTCTGGCTGCAGCTTCCTTCTTCGGACATCAACACCCCTCCTTCAAAAATTCCGAGTTGATATCCCACTGTCAAGCAGGATTGGCTCCCCTTCCTCTCCTCCCCCACTACTGTTAATTCAAAGAGCTAATAGGCATACTTGTTTGTCTTTTTACCTAATTAGTCTCTAAGAAGGGAGTTTGGCTCAGAAAAACACCAAGTGCTTGGGACGCTTTGGAGGGGTTGCTCTCCAACTCATCCACAGTTTCCCAGGCATAGCCTCAGTTTTCTGTCTCAACAGTGGCGCTAGCTGTCCTTTAGAGCTGTGGGTCAGTCGCTCCGAAGGCTGCTTACGGTCACTGACGCCGCAGGGCAAAAAGCATCGCGCTTTTCCCCAAGACACGCTCTCGTAGTTAGGGTGGCGACTGCGTGCCCGCGCTAGGACCCAGAAGCAAGTAGGACGCGGCCCCC